TCTCTACCTGTCTCTCAGACCTGGAATGTTCTCCTCCTTCATCTCTGCCTTCTGCCTTCCCCAGTTGACAACTCCTTAACTAGTTGTTTCCATGTTGTCTCCACCATTAGAGCTCTTTGAAGACAGGAACTATTTTTTATTTTCTTTATAACCCCAGCACAATGACTGGCATATAATAAGCACTTACTAAATACTCATTGATTTACTCAAATATATAGACCTACTCTTCTTAATGAGTATGAGCTCATTAGTAAATTAGACCTATTTCTCAAAGTATAATTTTCTGTGAAATGAGGTATATGTACACTCATTAGGAGGGTGGGCTCAAGGCTTATGACAACATTTGTTGTTATTTTATTATATTTGTTTATTATGAAATGCCTTATATTTGAACCAAGTCTTCCAGATGACTAACAAAAGTGAATACTTTGGTAGAGCCTAATTAGGTATGCTTTGAAGAAGATTCTGACCCCTAAAGTACGCAGAAATGGGATAACATTGGCATACTTCTGGTCAACAGAATAGGTCAGGGAGAAGCAGGCCAGCGGAAAGGGTAAGAGTCTCAGTTGTTGTCTGGATCCAAAAAGAAAACTAGAAGAAGGATGAAGGAGTTAGTTTTGTGAATAATGAAGTAGATTATGAAGCTCAGGGAAGGAATTTTGGGAGTCTTTGTGAGAAAATACCTTGCTTGTCTGAGTAGACCAGGGACTAGTATAGGAAAATTTTAGAGTGACAGGGGCACAGAGAACTGCTTTGGTTATGGTGAGTAGGTAAATTTTTTTTTTTTGTGAGGCAATTGGGGTTAAGTGACTTGCCCAGGGTCACACAGCTAGTAAGTGTCAAGTGTCTGGTCTGAGACCGGATTTGAACACAGGTTCTCCTGACTCCAGGGCCTGTGCTCTATCCGCTGTGTCACTTAGCTGCCCTGGGTTATGGTGAGTAGGAAGAGATCATACCCATAAATAGAACTAGGTAGAAAGCAGGTTCTAGGAAAGATGGAGGATCTCATCAAGCCTGATGTCAAATCAGATTTCTTTGATTTAGAAATCACAATAGTTTTGTCCAGCATCCATTACTTCAAATATGATATCATTAAGATAATTCAAAAGCACGGAAAGGGCTGGTGGATTTAGGACCAATAGAGGACTAAGGAATCTAACAGGCAAAGGATCAGAGAGAATGGATTTGGACACATTTCACCTGGGGCTAATTTCTTTCCAGGATATCTCCAGTGGAAGTGAGAGTTTCTGGGAACATGATATCAGATTGTTGATTCTCCATTAGCCCAATGCTGGGCTTGATGTCAGGAAAACCTGAGTTCAAATCTTGCCCAAAAAACTTGCTATTTGTGTGACTGTGATTAAGTCACTTAACCTTTCTCAGCCTGAGTTTCCTGATCTGTGAAATGAGAGGGCTGGACTTAATGACCCCCTAAGGCCTTTCCAGCTTTAAATCTATAATCCTATATATTTTTTTTCAGACCACCATGAATTTCTCCCCTATATGGACTATCATTTTCTTAGATTGCACTACCATATATGTCATTGAATTTAATTTATTTGGGCTGGTGTTTGTGTACTTTTGCTTTCCTGTAGTTGTTATTCCTTTTTTTTTTTTAGTTACTTAGGGTCTACTGTTATATTTTGTTTACATGCTGATTTTTTATTAGGTTAGATTTCCCCCTTTCCACTCCCATTCCTTTTTCTTTCAAATTGAATTAAAAATATTAGTATGTTTCAGGAGAAAAGTGTCCAGTCTGTTTGGTTCTTTGTACTTGTTTCCCGATGAGCTAACATCTAGCCTTCAGGGTATAGACTCACACCAGGGGGAGTTGAAAGTGAGGATCTTCCATGTAGAAGTTTGCTGACCACATGTTCCCTGAAGTGCTGATGGCACAGAGAAATCAAGATAAAGCAAAAGTTCCCAGATTGCTCCGGGGAGCCTTTTAATGGTCCACTGGGCAATCCCTCCACAAATTCAATTAAATTCAACAAATATTGATTTAGTGCCTACAAGGTGCAAGGTTTTATCCTATGTGTTAGGGATACAATGATTTATAAAATGCATACCCTGTTTTTAAGGATGTGAAAATCTACTAAAGCAGAGGTTTTTAACTTAGGGTTTATGGATCACTACGGGGTTGATAAGTACCTTTAAAAGATCTGTGAGCTTCAATAGAAAGAAATTACGTCTTTATTTTCACTAACCTTTAGCTGAAATTTAGCATTTTATTCACTTATTTGAAAACATTATTCTGAGCAGGTGTCCATAGGCTTTGTCAGATTGTCAAGAGGATTCATGACATAAAAAAGTAAAACAAAACAAAACCTCCAAACACTTTAATAGGGGAAATAAAACATGTACATAAATAACTATGACATGAGATTTAGTGGGATAAATAAGAAATAGAGATACAATGTTTTAGGAGAAATCAGACAGGGATCGCTTCTGTGTTGGAGAAATCAGTGAAGGCCTGTTTGAGGAAGTAGCTCCTGAGTAGGATTGGTTAGCAACACTGTTCTAGGGAGGAACTTGTTGCTAAAATGGACTTCCTCTTTCACAATCACGACTCTTGATATCTGTAATTGGTGGATGTTAGTGCGTATTTTCAGCTTGTTGAAGTACACTAAATAGGGATAGTTTTTTTGTTCTTTTTTGACAAGGCAATTGGGGTTAAGTGACTTGCCCAGAGTCACACAGCTAGTAAGTGTTATGTGTCTGAGGTCAGATTTGAACTCAGGTCCTCCTGACTCCAGGGTCTAACCTCTGTGCCATCCAGCTGCCCTGGATAATTTTTTTCTTAAGAGAGAATGAAAAACATATGAAGACATGTGAGTGTACGGACTTCCTGGAAAATTTGTATTTAAGCATAAATATGGAAGTCTGTCAGAAATGATTTCTATGTATAGCATGAATATAATTCTTGACAATAACCCTAAAGTCACAGACCACCATAATTTCCTGTGGATAGAATAATAAGAATGACTTGAAAACAACTCTGTGAAGAAGGCCATGTAAGTATTATTGTCCCCGCTTTACAGAAGAGGATTTTGCACTCAGAGAAGACTTACCTAGGGTTACATAGCTAGTATCAAAGGCAACCTAGGAGTCCCGATCCCAAGTCCTCCCTGCTGAAAGGACAGAATCAGGTCATTTGTCCTGGGCAGACCAATTAGATCATGATGTGAGGTCACTGAAAACTCCTAGCTCCCAATCAATCAAAGAGAGGGGAGAACAAAGGTTCCAGGAGCTGGGGGAAGGGATCAGAAAAGTGTTGCTGTTTTGCCTGCCAGAAGAGGCCACATGGCAGCTACCACCAGCTTTGTTCACTGGGAAGAGATAGAAGAAAGTGAAAAGACAGACGAAAATGAGAGGGACAAGTAGAAGTCTCATGTACCCTTCCTTTAGTTCTTCCCCTCCAGTTGGGGTTTATGTAATCACCTTCTCTGCAGTTTCGATAGTTTGTTGTTCAGTTTTCTTGATCCTTGGAGACAGAATTGTACCTTCTGCATGCCAAACTCAATGCCAGATGTGAGTGCCACGGAGAGTGCTACTTCCTTTTACAGAAAAGATGAATTCTGAATAATAAGGGAGGTCCTTATTAACAACAGCTATTAACAACAGAAAGCTGTCACATTAATATGATAATGCAGCCCATTCTCAAGCCGTTTTCTAAGACCTATTGTTTCAGTCCTGGAGAAGAGGGAGAAGGGGCAGGTTACAGCCCATTATCCTTTGCACAACACCTACATTCTCAATAGCCAGAAAGTAATGAGAGATCAGTTATATTACTAAGAAGAGTTAAGAGGCAGACTCTTAACAAGCATCTGGTCCTTTGAAAGAGTCTATGATAGGGGCAGCTAGGTGGCGCAGTGGATAGAGCACTGGCCCTGGATTCAGGAGGACCTGACTTCAAATTTGGCCTCAGACATATAACACTTACTAGCTGTGTGATCCTGGACAAGTCACTTAACCCCGCTGCCTAGCCAAAAAAAAAAAGTATATGATAAGGAAAACTATAATGCACAAGTTGGTAGGTTAGGCAATCTGGATGCCATATCTATTGTCCCATTGATTGCTAGGATTGATTGGGCTGCTTAGATGGCTTTCTTTTCCCTTTCTCATTGTTCTGTGTGTGCCCCAAAGCTGTGTGTTTAATGAGAGTAGAGTGTTCCTCAACCTATGGACTGGTATAACATCAGCAAAAAAGTTATTACTCTACGCAACTTAATGAAAGCAAAGATTTTTTTTCCCCCAAAGGAAAATTCCTCTAGTTAGCTGGGATTGAACATGTTGCTATCTTCTGGGAATTCAGCTTACACTAACTAGAAGACATACTAATAAGAAAACATTTGCATTAATAGTAGTTTAAGAGAATGAATTTACATAGTTTCACTGCATGAGATGATTATGTTTTATATACTGGCTTATTAAATTTTATCCTGGAAAAGGAGCATGGAAGAGAAAAAAAAATCTTTGTTTTCTGACAAATTACATTCCTAGGTGTGGACAGCCTGATTCTTGACACATCTCCTACATTTCCTTCTGAGTCAGTATCTTCTTTCTCCCTGACTCCTCTAGTCAAAGGACAGTGAAAGAGACATTCCTTCTACCAGGAACTCTTTCAACACTATTTGCTTTAAGCATGCTAAGTTCATTTTCCTATCTTACACTTATTTTCTGTTTCATTGCATGCCCCCTTACTCATGTGTGCACTGTTAGAGTCAAAGCATGCCTGTTCAATATTTAATGGATGGGATCACTTTGCAGGTTTTAGTTTAAAGGTAACCATAGCACACACCCTTGTATTCATTATTCATTTCAGGGATGTGCTGTCCATTCTTGGGAGTCCTCTTTCCTTGACAGGATTACTCTATATGTGACTTGCCATCCCTTGAAACGAGCCAGGATATTGCTGTAAGCGTGACAAGCTGGCAGGTACAATACCAACTGAAACCAGAATGATGTAAACTTGTTTGTTCAGTTGGGCAGATGGGACCATGTTTAGGAGGGGGATGAAGTCTGAAGGTGACAAGCAGCGGAAAGTCCGATTTCGGATCGCTTCATCTCACAGTGGGCGAGTCCTGAAGGAGGTTTACGAAGATGGAGAACCTTCAGACTTGCTGGATTCCGAATGTGCCAGTAGCTGTGGGACAGATCACAATAGTGGTCCAAGCGAAGGAGAAGCACAACAAAATGGCCATGTAGGATCGGAGAGCAATGAAAATGAAAACGACCAGGATAACTTGCTTGTGTTAGCAAGGGCTGCCACTGAGAAGGGATTTGGTACAAGACGAGTCAACATTTTAAGCAAAAATGGTACAGTCAGAGGCATCAAATACAAAGTTAGTGCTGGCCAAGCCCTTTTTAACAACTTAACCAAAGTGCTACAGGTAAGTAACATAGCTTTCTTTTCCCACAAGTGTGCTCTGAACTTGCCATCTGGACCCTGCTCACTCCAGTTTCTGCTCTAAATTGAAACTCTCTTATTCATGACTTCTCTTACATACTTCATGACTCACAGTGGCACACTTGTGCATCTAAGATGTTGTCTCTCCACTCAGCCAAGTTGAGGATAGGGTCACTTCACTTAGTAAATTAGACCTATTTCTCAAAGCCAAATTTGCTGTGAAATCTCTTGCTGACTAAACAGGATAACTTTTTTTTCTTAGCCTAGGAATAAGACATGCCAGAAGTATACATTTTCAGCTAGAGTCAAAGCCCTAGGAGAGAAATGGTGGGCTCTGTGCCAGCTCTCTGCCCGGAGTGCTGCTCTGGAAGCTTAGTGATCGCCACCCCCCTCCAGGCATATAAATAGTTATAAATGCTAATGATTGGGGCCAAAGAAATTATATACAATTTTATGAAGACATTTTGGTTGAGAGTGACATTTCTTCTATTTTAAGACTAAAAGGATTACAATTTGGGTCCCCAAACTCCATTAATCTACTTCCAAGAATTCAAGAGTAAGAATTGGAAAAGGTTATTCCAATGCAAAGGCACAGGCTTAGAACTAGTTTCACAGTAAATAAGCAGTTCTCTACAATATGAGAGATTTCACATATTAGCATAAGAATATTATGCAAAAGCTTTGGGATCTTTGCCTATCCTCTATTCAAAATGATTTAATGTCAAGGCATATTTTATAAATGGAAAAGAGCTCCTGTTTGGTCAGGATTATTGTGATAAAAGATTTGCTGGTGAAAATATGAATCATTATTTCAGAAAAGGAAGCCTTGATCATTTTCTCTAAGGTGGTAATCTGATATTCATTATAATTTCATTTTCTCTGGTTCCTAACATTTTAGAAAATGATCTTTTGGAAAATTTTGTATGTCTCACCAGGGCCCCCAATTGTGTGTGCTATGAGGGGGTGGTAATAAGAGCGGGGAATTTCAGCAAAATGCATTTGAATATTTTTGTTTCAAAAGAAAATATTTTTTTCCTTATAGAAAAACCATAAAGTATTTTCTTTTCTGAATGAATACTGGGAGTCAGAATGTTTTAGACATAATTCTTTATATATGTAGACCTTGGAGATTATGAAGTGCCAGGGAAAGACTATTGTATTTGAAGTCATAGGATTTGGGTTCAAAATTTAGCTCTACCCTTATGTGACCTATGTGACCTTTGATAAATAATTTATCCTATAAGCTCCTCAGTTTCCTTATCTATAAAATAAGGAGGTTGGACTAGATGATTACTGATGTCCTTTCTATCTCAAAATCTAGGATCCTAAATTTTGCTAGATTTAGAAACATTAAGTCAGATGGGAAAATGATGTCCAGTGTGCAGGTTAGAAACTATTTTACACAAATTTGAATTAGAATTAAATTCATAGACTTTCTGTATGTCATGTTCAACCTCTCATCCAATGCAGGAATTGCTTCTACAACATTCCTGAATGATAACCATTTGTAGTTTTTATCCTCACCATGGAGAAATTTTGGAAATGTTTACATTCAAAGAGCATCTTTTCTCTCCCCTCCAACTGGAGTTGTTTAAATTGTATTATACCTCATGGAGGTATTATACTATATTACCATATCCAACTTTTATCTTCTGTTTTGGAACTTTTTACTCATTCTCTACTGGCTAAAATTAATTACTTTGACTATTTTACATGTTAAAGCCTACAAAGGAAGAAATGTGCCCTTTCAACATAATCTCATCCTGCAAATGATATTAATTTACAAATAGGAATTTGTAAAAAGTCTTAAAGTTGGGGGTTTAATCTCAGGTTAGGATAAACTATTTCCTTGTATATTTTCTGCACTCACAAAATATACACCTGTACTTTGAGAAGAAAATAAAGCAAGATATACTTCTCTTATAATTTCATTCCCTTATTTTTTTGTTTTTGTTTTTGCTTTAATACAATAACCATGGCTGCTACCAGAGACTTGTAAGGGACTTTAAGATCATCAATCAGTTTTGTAGCTGAGGAAGAGTGATTTATAAGATATTTTCCTTTTCCTAACTTGATGTATCTCTAAGAAAACATTTCAAAAATTGAATGGGGCAGTCTTTGACCTTATGAGGATAAAAGATGAAATTCAAGGCCTAGCACGTTAGATCTAGTTTCTTGGTTGATGTGGGGTATAGGTGAAAGGAGAACCACTTAACTTTTATTCCTTTATCTACTGCCCTGAACTTATCTTTCTCTTTTCTCTTTTTTCCTTAAGATCTCATAGACTATATGGTGTGTAACCTTGGGTAAGCTGATTAACCTCTCAGCCTCAGTTTCTTCATCTGTAAAATGGGAATAATTATAGCACCTACTTCCCAGTGCTGTTGTGAGAATCAAATGAGATAATATTTATAAGGCACTTTGCAAATATTAAGCTGCTATGGTTAATTATTTATTATTAAAATATTCCATATTATTCAAACACTATGGTTAGCTATCTATTATTATTTTAATGTATAACTGCCATTGACAGGGATCTTTCAGGGACCAAAGTGGGTAGTCACATCTTGAAAATTTTTGCGTCTCTAATCCTGTGGAGATACACTGAAATATTTACCTTGTATTTTTGCACCTGCCTGTTCTTCTTCCTCTAGAAAGATGATTATAGAAGCATGAGATATGGAACTTGTAAGAAAAGAAATCCTAAATATTAGCAGCATCTTTTAATCATTTTGTAAATCATTTTGCTTCTTCTCCATCTTTCTACCATTTTTATTTTCTCTTACAAATACTTGGCCCTCCAAACATGAATTTTTCATTGAAATCCTCTGTTTAAAGCATTTTTCACTCTGCACTTTTAAGGAATACAAGAAACTGTTAAAGGAATGTTAACCTTGTGCCATGCTGGATTAATCAGGATCTTCAAGATTAAGTTTGATGAGAATAGCAATGGACTCAGATCATTGAATAATTTCATCCTGATTTGGCAGTTTATTAAATTTTTTAAAGTACTTTTGTTTAAATAACTTAAATTATGTATGTAGGCTTCTTTTATGGCCTTAGTGTGGTTGATTTTATAAATATGATTATAACTTAATTAAACTTAAAAAGTATTTGTTGAGTGCCTAATATGTGCAGGTTATTGGACCAGATACTGGTGATGTAAAGAGAGAGACTACATAAACACCATTTTAATGAAGTTTACAATCTAATAGAATGGTCGAGACTTATACAAAGATAACTCTCAGGCAGAGGGGCGTTGGAGGCAAAGAAGAGGTTTTGATAATAGACTACCAGAAACTTGAGGAAGAAGGTATCTCTTTCTGATGAAGAAGGATCAAGGAAAACTTCATGGAAGATAATGACATCTGAGTTGGTCCTTGACTTGAAGTTGACTTGACTTAAGTAGAGACTTCAACAGATGGGGGAAAGCTAGGAAGAGCTAGGGAGAAGGTTTATTACAAGCATGGGAGACAGTTTAAGCAAAGGCATAGGAAGAAGGGATTAAAACATTAAGAGTCAGTTATTCAGTTTGGTTGGATTGTAAAGTGTCTGAAAGAGTACAGTATGTGATGATTCTGTAAAGGTAAGTTGAAGACAGATTGTGGAAGACCTTGAATGCCAGGATCAGGAGTTTATATTTTATTCAGTAGGCAATGGGGAGCCATTGCTAATATTTGAGTAGTGGGATGATTTGATCAGAGTAGTATCTTAAGAATGTTGCTCTGATAGCGGCATGAAGGATGGTGTGGAGAGGAGACAGGAAACAAGAAAATCGGTTAGGAAGATATTACCCCTTAACTGATGGGAAGTAGTAAACATAATTAGTAGTCTAGATGAGAAGAGATTAAGATCTCACTTAGTCTAGTTGCAGTGGAATTGGAAAGTATATGGGAGAGATTTTTTAGAAAGCCAATTATAAGGTATAAAGAATATAAACTACTCTAACTTTTGAGTTGGAGGTATTTTGATGATCAGTCTGGAAGTTTCCAATTTGAAACACATCTATGTTATAGGAGGCATGGGGATTTTATAATGTTAACTTTGTTTACAGGTCTCATATATTTCAATAGAAAGATAATTTCATTGCTGGGGGTACTGACTCCATCCACACAGGGAGCATTTTTTTCATGCTCCAGAGTTGCTATGATTAAAAGTTTGGCATTTAGTGACTAGTCATCTGGTGATATATCTCTTTGAATACAGCAAGACCAGTTCTTGGATGACAAATACACATCTTTTTTCCTCCCATTATATCTATACCCTGATACTTCCAGCTTGGTACAATTTGTGTTCCACTAGAATAACCTTCCAGAACCCAAGGTCACTGTTGTGCCACAGTAAGACCTACAAGTAGAACTTAAATGGAGACACAAAATGATCATTACATGACTTTTTTGCCTTTTTTTAGAATGAAAAACTTTTAATCAGTTTTAATTAATTGTCCAAGTTTCTTTCATTCAGCAAAATAGTTGTAAAAGACAATTATGTCATCATCTAAAGGAATGATTAATTGATCCATCCATGCAACAACAATTTACTAAGGATATTCTATGTGAAACGAAGTGTGCTAGATGTTTGGAGTGTTATGAAACTCTGTTCCTGTCTCAAGTGAGTTTACACTTTAATGAGAGAGGTAAGACATGAATAAAAGTAAATACATTATGAAGCACATAAGTGCATAAAAAGTACAAAACAAAGTGCTGTGAAAATTCAGAGGGAGGGTAGGTAGTACTTTCAATGGCACAAGTTAAGACTTTTTAAAGGAAATAGCCAAGTTGGTCCTTACAGGGTGGAATAGAATTTCAACAGTGGATAAGGGTGATAGAGACATTCTAGTCACAGGAAATGAGGTAAAGTCCCAGATGAGTAAAGTCCCAAATGAGTAAAGACCTACAGATAGGGAAGTGTGAGACATGGCTTGAGGAACGGCAAACAGTCCACCCTCACTGCACAGGTATATGTAAGATGTCTGTGTGTAGC